AATGTTATTTGCAGTTGCTCACTACCATCGTCACCCTACATAGCATGCATGTGACAACTAATAATTTGATGCATGAACCAATAAAAAACTACCACATTAATACATTAAATCACTAACCGTCACATGTATGCCAGTTAGGGCAATTACGGTAATCAGCTAATCTAAATTTATATTCTTAATCTGAGATTTGAAATATGTATAATTTTCTTAAGAATAATATTATTTGTAGTCGCTCACTACCGTTGTCACAATACGTAGCATACATGTGAGAGTTAATAATTTAATGCATAGACCAATAAAAAACTATCACATTAATAGATTAAATCACTAACCGTCACATGTATGTCACGTAGGGCGATTACGGTAATCAGCGACTGCAAATAGCATTACTCTTTTCGTAAATATGGGTCGAATAGGCTTGAACTCAAATTTTTTTCGAGATTTCTAGGCTTAGTGTTTGTATAGTTTAACAGCCCCTTGTGTTTTGAAGTAGGTGATAGGAAAAGATTGAACACTTGAAAGGAAATTGACGCAAATGATCTGAAATCATACTCTTTCTGGAAGAGTGGAACATGGATTCGCTACATTTAAGGACCTATGACGGGCAGTTAGATGAATTTTCGCTAGATTAGTCAAAGTTGAACGTGTATTGCACGTTATTCTAAAATACTTTATAAGTGTTGTAAAAACGACATTTGATATCAATTTATTGGGAGGATTTGATGAGTTTCAAACGAACTAAAGAAAATAAAATTTAGGATAAAAATGTAATAAAAGAAAATTGTACTTTCAAAACTCAACTTCTATGATTCAATTTGTTTGTGATAATGAAATATTACAAATGAACAACATTTTTATACTACATTTTGTACATAAGAATTAATTTCTAATACATGAAATTTAAACACTTATTAAAATTCTTAGATACATGAATAAAAATAAATTTATTTATAATAATTCTAAATTCATGTATATCAAGAATTAATATAAATGTTAATTAATTGAGAATTAATAACCGACCGTTTGAAAACCTGCAAGTGAACGAGATCGTGATCAAGTAATATAGTAGTGTGCAGAGTGTCTAACACGCTAGGACTGTGTTTTATTGAGTTAAAATTAATAATATTCTTAATCGAATAGCAATAATGATTTGTAATAATTCTATGTCTAATTTATTACGTACTAAAAATTAAAATAAAAGTTTGTCAAATTTTTCATATGCATTACTAAGATGTAGAATTCTCATTGTTAATCAATCTTTAGTACAACAATTCAAATGATTATTGTTATCATGTGAGTTGGTTGAAGTTTCAAATTTATTTACAAACTTCTCTCGATAGCAATTAAATCTAATCCTATATGTGATCTTTCTATATCTCTATAAAAGATACCAACGTATAAGAAAGTATTAAACGAGTTAGAACATAAAAAAAATCATGCGAAGCATAGAGATATATAGCTATTCTCTATCGAATCTCAAAATGTTTATT